AGACAAATGCCTAGGGAGGAAAAGCCTGAAAAAAATTTTTTTCCATATATAATAAAAATATTTGTACACAAGAAATTCTTTATAGCTAATTTAGTGACTCCAGAATTCTTTAAAATTATCGCAATCATAATAAGCAGGGGATGAGCTTTTTTAGTTCCCTTTCATACAGTTATCTTTAAACATTAATTCACAGTACGTATGAATAACAAACTTAAAATATAGCCATGGAAACATGTGTACTTGTACTTAAATTTTTAATCTAGTAGAAACTGGGTTTAAATTTTTAAATTTAAAACTACAAAACTAGGCCAGTATACAGTTCAGAAAAAGATATTTCTAAATAAAAATATATGTAAGGTATATGATTTTGTTTATGTATTACTTTAAAAATAAGCTCTACATATTTTTAAATGAAGCACCTGTCTAAATTACTTAAATAAATATGATGTTGTTGTTAGGTGCTCTTGAGTCGATTCCAACTCACAGTCACCCTATGTACAACAGAATGAAACACTGACTAGTTCTGCACCATTCTCATGCTTGAGCCCACTGTTGCGGCCACTGTGTCCATATATCTCATTGAGGGTTTTTTTTTTGCTGACCCCCGACTTGACCAAGCACGATGTCCTTCTTCATGGACTGGTCCCTCCTAATAACATGTCCATACTTTGCTTCTAAGGAGTATTCTGGCTGTACTTCTTCCAATACAGATTTGCTCTTTCTTTTGGCTGTTCATGGTATATTCAGTATCCTTCACCAACACCATTAATTCAAAGGCCTCAATTCTTCAGTCTTCCTTATTTATTCTCTAGTCTTCGCACGCATATGAGGTGATTGAAAACACGATGTCTTGAGTCAGGCGCACCTTCGTGTTCAAAGTGACATCTTTGCTTTTTAACACTTTAAAGAGATCTTTAAATATATAAATAAATCTGATAGTTACTATTTATTGAGCATTTATTATGTTACCTCTGATCTGACCCAGTCATTTCTACGTCATTTCATTCAGTCATTTCTAAGTCTTAGGCTCAGGCCTTTCCACAAAGGATTGTTAAGATTCAAAACTCTCAAGGTTTTCCTTTTTTTTTTCCATTTATATGCACCTGCTTATAACTAGGAACAGTTTACTAGGAAACTGAGTAGAACTCAGAGGAACTTCTGGGTGGCTTTATAGAAATGCCTTTCCTTTTGTCTTTACTGTTCCCCTGCTCCCTCAACCCCCTCTTCTTCTGTTTTTTTTTTCTTATCATTATTTTACAATGTTGTGTGTAGTATTATTATTTATGAAATCTGTATTTTTGCTTTCCAGTTAGAAGGCAAATAACTATCTTTATAAACCATATGAATACAAGAGATGAGGAAACGAACTAGTATGAAAAAAGGGGATACATTTAGTGCAGAGGGAGTATAATCACAATTACCGGCCATTTCTTTCGTCAGCTGCTTTGGCGCTGGAACCAATTCCATCCAACATGAGCAAGGCTGTCCCTGGATGTGAGCACTCTTTTATAATTGTGGACAGCATCTCACGTAGTAGAAGACCACAATGTTACACAAGAGGAGTGTGTGTGAGTCAAAGGCATGAGTCCTGCTGCTGCCTGGAGGGAGCCAGTGGGACTTCCAGCAAGGCCTCAATCCTTCTGTTGAGGTTCAGCAGTCTGAAGAGGCTGGTGAAAGGGAGTTGGCACCCTTAAGCTAATCCTTTGCACAGAAATTAAGTGCTCAGCTCCTAACCAAAAGGTTGGCAATTTGAACCCACCAGCTGCTCCAGGGGAGAAAGATGTGGTAGTCTGTTTGTGTAAACGTTTACAGCTTTCGAAATCCTATGGGGCAGTTCTACTCTGTCCTGTAGCGTCACTATGAGTCAGAATCGACCCGACAGCAATGGGTTTGTTTTTCACCTCTATAACTCTTGTTAAGGGTTCCCTGTTTATTAAAAGAGGCTTATTAATGGACAATGCTAGTGGCACTGAAATAGCGTACAAAGTTAAGGGCCAGTATGAGTTAGAAATTCTCTCCTTCCTGCTTCAATATCCTGAGTAATACAATATTTTCCCTGTTCAGTGAGACAATTTAAATTTATTAACAAAAGAATTGTACGATATTAGCATTTAATATTAGATTTCTGCCCACTGGGGATTGTGTGGTGGTGGTAGAAGTTTTGGCCAATTTAACTGAAGCTATAACAGAACTAAAATTAGACCAACTCAGTTACAGAAATACAGGACTAATGGTGGTTACAATCTCTTTCTTAAAACACAGCATTTATTTTTTTTCTTTTATTTAGAAAATTTACTTTATTTAAAAAGTATACATGGTATGTCCTGCAATACAAAATTCAGACATATTAGAAACAGCATAATGGAAAATATAAATATCCATTTTTTTCCTACTAATACATTTTCCGTATTTATTGTCTTTTCACAGGTTTGCATTTTTATTATACAATTTGATTTATACTTACAGCAAAAACAATCAAATATTACAAAAACATATAAAGCAAATAGTAAAAATAGTAAAAATTCCCCCATCTCCATCCCCTCCCCAGATACTGGTGTATATTCTTCCAGACTTTTAACTACATGGATACTTTTTTCTTTTTTTTTTATATAAATGATTTCACAATATATGTGTTGTTCTGTAACTTGCTTTTTCACTGAACACTATCATGGAAATCTTTCATGATAGTACATTTAGGGCTTCTTCATTCTTTTTAATAGTTGTATTATATTCCTTGTTGTATGAGTATCTATTTTGCCAATTCCTTAATAATGGCTACTTAGGGTATTTCCAATATTTTATTAATGAAAACAATGCTGCAGGAAACCTGCTGTTAGCTTATGTATAGAAATACAGTTATATTTATTTGCATAGCCTTACACCCTCCCTTTTTAAAAATCAGATACTTTAAATGAAAACTGAAATATTAAACGGAATACATGAGTAGTGTGTGAATTGAAATGGAAAGAATCCGGGTTTTAGTAATCCCATTTTTAACTAAATCATATTGAGGCCAACAAAGCAAGAAGCCACGTAAACTGACTCTTTTTAAGGGCTATGACTGAGTTGGTAAGATGGAGGATTATCTAGGTGAAGTGCTCTCTCCCTACAGAATCTCTTGAGGGGCTCCACTTTATTTCTCAAGCATATTCTTCCTGTTCCACTCCCAGAAGTTGCCTGGTTTGTCTCAACTTGCTTCTATTAGGCCTGTTTGGCAGCAGGTGATACAGATTTTAAAAATTTAAACGTTTTTCTAAAAATGCTATTAGCACCATGGTCTCGGGGAACATCTAGCTCAACTGGCATAACACAGTTTATAAAGACAATGTTCTACATTCTACCTTGGTGAGTAGTGTCTGGGGTCTTAAAAACCTGTGAGCAGCCACCTAAGATACTCCACTGGTCTCACCCCTTTGGGAGCAAGGGAAAATGAAGAGAACAGGATACAAGGAAAAGATTAGTCCAAAAGACTAGTGGACCACAGCTACCAAGGCCTCCACTAGACTGAGTCCAGTACAGCTACATAGTGCCCGCCTAACACCACTGACTGCTCTGACTGGGATCACAACAGAGGGTCCTGGACAGAGCTGGAGAAGGATGCAGAACAAAATTCTAACACACAAAAAGAAAGACCAGATTTACTGGCCTGACAGAGACTGGAGAAACTCGGAGAATATGGCCCCCCGGACATCCTTTTAGCTCAGTAGTGAAGTCACTCCTGAGGTTCACTGTTCAGCCGGGGATTGGACAGCCCCATAAGACAAATCAGGACTAATGGGGCACAGCAGTCCAGGGACAAGGACTAGAAAGCAGAAGGGGACAGGAAAGCTGTCGATAGGGAACCCAAGGTTGAGAAAGGAGTGTTGACATGTCGTGGGGTTGTTAACCACTGACATAGGGCAATATGTGTACTAACTGTTTAATGAGAAACTACTTTGTTCTGTAAACCTTCATCTAAAGTATAAAAAAAAAAGAACTATCTATGTAATATCAAATTGACAACAGCAACTCAAAAGGTTTGATGAGAAGCCTAGGGGACAATGAGTTGAAGACAACGGTGATGGAATAATTTGGAAAAGGATAGTGAGGATAACAGCACAACTGGAAGAACATAATCGATGTCACTGAATTGTACATGTAGAAATTTTTGAAATGGTGTATCATTGGCTATGTATATTTTCACCAAAAAAGGTCCTCCAAGGTCAAGAAGGGAGAGTGTTGACATGTCATGGCATTGTTAACCAATGTCATAAAACAGTATGTGTACTTACTGTTTAATGAGAAACTATTTGTTCTGTAAACATTCACCTAAAGTACAATAAAAAAAATTAAAAAAAAAAATGCTATTAGCCAACAGAACCTAGCGTTGGACGGCAGGAAGGTATGAGTGAGGCAGCCCTTCTTTTCATATTTCCAATTTTGATGAGCCCAAAACTCTCCATACAATATATGTAAGACACAGATTCACTAAAGTCTCAGTACAGCTGCTTGTCCTTTATTTTATACTTGTGTATTTGTGGTTTTGAACAATTGGTGGGTATTAGAGTTTGCTTTGGATTCTTAGCTTTGATTACACTGATTGCAAATTTTCTTTAGCTTTTGTCTAGTTAAAAAAAATCCTGTGTTCACATTTATCTTTGAAAAGAATAGATATGACCACTTTAAAATGGTTACATTATTTCCCAGATTAAGTAACTATTTTAATTTGGGGAGTAAATATTTTAAAATGGGGAGTGTGGATAGCTCTGTTTTTTGGAGCGTGTTCTTTAGTGAGCCAAATCTTGGTTTGGTGGTATCACAAGGAGTCTGTAACGAATTTCTGAGCTACGAGGCCTAAATCTTGACCATCTCCACGTGGCAGAGGAAATTTCCAAAGTCTTTATCTTAGCAATGAAAACCACTGAAATAGAGGAGGTGGTGGAGTGAGGAATGGGTACTTGCCTCTGCTGTCAGCTCATCAGTGAATTCCAAGATACCACGCTTCCTTCAGTCTATCACCATGGTCTTCAAAGTTCCCTTTTAAAGGTTACAAAAAATTAAAGCTCCCTACACAACTACAGTTATTTTTTATCTATTCAATATATAAATGATGAATGGTACCCATAAGATGCTCCCATCTACTTTAATAACTGCATTGCCCTTGACAGGTGTATAAGGCAGACAGATTGGGAATTACTAGCTTAAAGTGTAATTTTTCCTTCATTTTTATCTGAAGCTCTGGTGAAATTTAGCTAAAAATATATAAGCAGTGCTTTAAAAAATATCCTCTTCCCAGTCTCCATTGCTACTTTTAATAACATTCGTTCTCATCTTTGATTGTTCTTATCAGACTCTCCCAAAGGAGGCTGCTATTACCAAATGCCAAAAGCAGACTGTAAGAGGAGAAATCATGCCATGAGTAAATTAAAAAAAAAAATCATATAAATACATTCTCTACATAATTGGAAGGGGAAGAGGGAAAATAAACAAGGGATAGAAATAAAGTTACAAATATAATTTCATCTCGTAGGGGGTGATTTATATTTTAGCAAGCTTATCTTCTATGATTCCCCAAATTTTCTTTTTAGAGAAACTGTGACATTGATGATGCCAGTTCTTATTCAAAAGAAATTAATATACAAAGATATTTGATAATACTTGCACTAATACTGCTATATCCAAGTTATATAAAGTCACGAAGAGAACTAGTCCACTGGGTAAAGTTTTCAGTACTGTTCTTCATAGCTTAGATTCTATCTTAATGCCTCCCTTAAAGATGTGGCTGGCATATATAGCAGTGTGAACCAGGGTTGACTTAAAGGTCTTCTCTTAAAGGCTTCTTCCGGAGGCACTGGCAGATGGATGTGTTATCATTTGGCTGAAGAACAAGTTCCATTCCATCACGTATTTCAGGTTTACTGGACTGGCGCTCAGCATATTTCTGAAATGTGTGTTTGAAAGCAACAGGAATGTTAGTCCATGCTTCATTCCACTGAATCCTCCCCACCCCACTGACTTGGCTCTCATGCCATGGTTTCTATTTCCTGTGTATTTTTAGGCTAACAAAGGTCTGGTTTGTTCCAGTCTTAAAGATACATTTTAACATTAGTTATTACAGGAAGTGGTGTAATATTTCATAATGTAACAAGGAATCACAATCTACAATTTCATTTTTATGTAGGAAGCCTCCACAAAAGGGATGTCAAGCCAAGTGTCCCTACTTGAAACAAACAGCTTGTTGTTAGCTGCCATGAGTCAGCCCCCAACCCATAGGAAAGCTATGTACAATGGGATCTGACCGTTGTGATCAGAGTTTTCATTAACTGATTTTCAGAAGTAGATCACCAGGCCTTTCTTCCTAGTCTGTCTTAGTCTGGAAGTTCTGCTGAAATCTGTTCAGCATCTCAGCAACATGCTAACCTCCACTGAAAGACAAGTAGTGGCTGCATATGAGGTGCACTGGCTGGGAATCAAACTCTGATCTCCTGAACAGAAGGCGAGAATTCTATCACTGAACCACCACTGCCCTTGAAACGAACAGCACCTGTCAGCATTTATCCTTTCGTTGTTAATGAATAATTAACTTCGTTGAGTACTCAAATCAGCAAACAAAGATGGTAAGTATCTCAAAATAAAGTTGGTGGCCTCACACATCCTCCCACTTAGTTACATGTATTTTTTAAACGGTCACGGGCCTGTGAAACACCTCTCCACTCTGGCCACTGATCTGAAATATTCCTATAATTTGGATATTTCAGTTAGTGGTTCTGTGTACATTTAGCTGTTCATCCCAGATACTGGGCCAAACCCAACAAAATACTAACATGGGTACATTAGCCTGATTAATATTTTGGGGGAGAAACTCTTATTATTAAAATTAAAGCTAGACCAGCAGAGGGGGCAGAATTCCTTTAAGGGCAGGGCTGCTTCTAGTAAATGGTGTAATTTATCCTTTATCTTTTTTTTTTAAATGAGAGGATAGTATCCACAGGCATCTGAGGAAAAAAAAAACTCCCCTAGAAAAATAAACGTATTTTTTCTTCCTAGCTGATTTTACTTAGTAAATGCAAAGTAGTTACCCAAAGAATCAAATGTTCATTGGGTTCCCAATAAACATTTACACTTCAGGATTCAGCCCTAAGGTGTTAGAATTATTATAAATATTTTTCATTTGTTCGATTGCTTTATATAGCAAGCTAAATATCTGCTGTACTCTTTCTAAAGGACTCCAAGTTATGATAGGATCTTAGGCAACAAGGAGAACAAGGAGTTGAACATTTTGAGTAGAACGAAATGTTCATGACCTTTAGTCCAACCCTCTTATTTTCCAGATGAGGAAAGATACTGTTCTCTGAGGTTCAGAGAACACCTAAACTAAGAATTCCAAAAGGCATTTAATAAAATATAGCACTGACAAGATGGAAGGAGCGTCTAATCTATATTTGTAGGGGGGTTCTAACTATTGTTTCTCATAATACTGAACGGAGATCAAAATACGTTGGCCACAAAGGGACTTAGCAGCTAGTCCTATCTTTCTATAGGCTGGTGCCTCAGCTTAGCAAGAGTTTCATAGGCCGACTCTTCAAGAAGCAAGTCAGGCCAAGCACGCACGCAGTCTGAGGAAGCTTGACCCAGCAGGATCAATACTCTGAACTGACCTCTAGTACTCTGAAATAGTAGCAGTAAAGCCTGTGTGGCTGTAGCAGATCCCTGGCAGTCAACTGCCCTTCTTTGGCTATCTTCTTGGCTTCTTCATCATTTTCCTGAAAGGTTTAAAAAGAAATAACAAATACAAATTACTCCTGAGACCCACAAAGAAAGCTAGGAGGGAGCGTGAGGTAGGGCATGTGTGAGGTTGAATGGGAAAAGCATGGGAGAGATGGAACATAACGGAAATATAACTTAAGAATGAGGCTACGGATATTGATTTCAGGTTCTAAGAAGATAAGCCTTCCTAAAATAATAAAGATTGAGACTATGGAAATAGACAAAGTTCTTTCCTAGACAGCTCTGTTAAAGAGAAATGATGACACATGTTTGGAAGCAGCCTGGTAAACATACCCGCCCTGCAACAACATGCAGCTTTTTATTGTTACTGTCTTGGTACTTTCCCAGCTATCCAGGAAGTAAGCTTGGGGCTTGTCATCTATGCCCCCCATCCTAGTAATCTCTGCTTGATATTAAAATGCAAACCAGAATGGAATGAATCAGGTTTCATGTTATAACATCTTTTAAAAGCTCCATTTAAATATGTAGTCAGAGCCAAAAAAAGTGTTAAAAAATGGTAGCTATGGAAGAATATATTGTGGTTTTAATAAAAAATTTAGTCCTTAGCACCCTAAGGCTGTTCCTTCAGTACCAGGAATAGTCAGCGTTCCTAATTATATTTTTGGAAAACAGCTAATCTTCTACCATGCTGCCCACAGAAAACCATTTGCAAGCAATTTTTACTGTAATAAAGCTCTGTTTATAAGGGTCACAAAAATGATTCTGCCTCAAGCACCCAGTTATTTTCAGAACCAAATATTGCTTCTCAGAAACTTAGAAACTAAGTAAAGTCTTACAATGGAAGGGGAATTTTTCATATTTTTATAATAAAACACAGTAGCTTTTTAATACTTTTAAAAATAATTTGTCTTTTATGGGAAATTTGAGTTTTGGGATGTTGTATAGCACAATATTCATTAAGAACATGTACCTTTTTTCTAACTGAGGAAAAGAAAGAGTGCTATAATTGCCTTAAAAGTTTTCTTGTGCATAAAACCCTTTAACCCTGTTCTTTTTTCTTTTTTATCTGTAATTTACATTTGGTATGTTCTAATTTATGTATGTAAGCATCAACAGTGATTCATTTAGAAAAATTTATATTCTTCGTAACACTGGACTTAGAGTCTTATAAAAATCCTTAAAAATGTTGATAGAGGGTATACAAAATGATCCCCAAGCTGATCTTTGGCTATTTCAAGGGAACAAAATTTTCAGAAAATAACATTTCTCATGATTAAATTATGTCAGATTAAACTGTGCTATGATAAACCTCATGTTACTGATGTTCGTGAATTTGTCACTGTCTAAAGAAACAAACTGTGGAAAACATACCTTGGCCCATGTAACTTTCTCTAGTAAATCACTAAGATTTCTTTTAATTGGAACATAATGTTTCCAAGGCTTTAGTGCTGTGTAGAAATGCTCATAATACGGTGAGTCCTGCTTTAGAACCAGACTGTCGCCCAGCATGAGATAAGGATATCTATAAGCAGCCACGGTCCCATCCATGTTCACTTGATATTTGTACTAAGAGATTAAAAACAAAAACAACATTGTTAAGAAAGTCATTTGCTTCACTCCTGCTTCTCATTCATATTGTGATATTAAATACTGAAGAATTATTTTCCACTTTCCAACTTTAGTGTTTAAAAGTTGTACATTATATTTTGTAACTTACATTTCCTTGTATTAAAATCATAAGCAGCCTTTAGCAGGTCAATTTTAAGAAAGAGAATGCATTTAAAGACAAGATGACAAATAATTTTAGGAAATATTTTAGGAATTTTAAGAAATTCAACTATGTCTGTGTAATGGGGAATTCAGATTTTAATAACCAGGTAGGAAAACTATTTTCAAAAGTTCTATATTTATTAAAGCCAAAATATTGGTAACAATTTACACTTTCCTTTATACATTATCTCATTTGTTCCTTATACCCACTTATGAAACAGGAAGGCATTATCTCCATTTTACAGTTTTAGAACCGAGGAGACAAAAGCCTGGAGAAATATAAGGATTAACAGGATGCTGGCAACTCAGTTTACATATGCATACATATTTGTTGGATTAATAAACTTGGATTTACATTTCAAAAGCACTTTTCATAGGAATTAAACCTCATTCAACCATAATAATGTGAAGTGTTACCACCACCCCCCTTTTTTTTTCCCACAAATGAGAAAACTGGTGTTCAAAGAAATTTATAGAAATCTGTTTTCTGACTCTGAATCCCATGTTCTTTTCATTATACCATACTGAGATGAACAAGATATGTTCACAGATCTAATAATTAATTTCTTTTTTTTAATTTTTTTTTGTTGAGAGTATAAACAGCAAAACATACATCAATTCAACAGTTTCTAAATGTACCATTCAGTGACACTGATTACAGTCTTTGATTTGTGCAACCATTCTTACCTTTTTCTGACTTGTTTCTCCTCCATTAATATAAATTCACTGCCTCTTTTAGGTTCCTATCGATTCTTTCAAGTTGCTGCTGTCAATTTGATCCCGTATAGATAGTTCTTAAAAGAGCATAATGCTCAAGGCAGACATTTTTACTACTTAAGCTACACTACTGTGTGGTTTTAATAAGGCTTTAGGGGATATTTTTGATTTAATCTTTAAAGATTATCTTGTAATAGTTTCAGGGGTTCATCCAGCCTCCATGCCTCTAGGAAGTCTAGAGTCCATGAGAATTTGAATTCTGTTCTGCATTTCCCCCCTTTTGATCAGGATTCGTCTATAGACTCTTTGATCAAAATGTTCAGTAATGGTAGCCAGGCACCATCCAGTTCTTCTCGTCTCATGGCAAAGGAGGCAGCTGTTCATGGAGACAATTAACCACACTTAATTTCTTAAATAACTGGTACCAAGGAGTTTTCTAACCTGTTAGATTTTGTCACATTGCTCACATCTTTGGCTTCCTTTGAGCCTCAGGATAATAATACTCTGCAGGAGTTATGCAGGCATGACTTGTTTAGAGACCAGATGGACTAATTGATGAAGGTCCCAAAGTTAGTGGCAGAGGCAGGACTAGAGACCGAGTCTCTTGAATAACAATTCCAGCTCCTATTTTACTTACATGGAATTTATGTTTTCTATTTACAAAAGGGATTTGAGATTGCTTCATGTAAAAGACATTTATATTCCAAGTTTATTAAAACAAATACAAAACAGAGAAAAACAAGAGAAATAAGTACACCAAGACCCTGTGTTAACCCTTGTACTATATTTTGAGCATTAAATTTAGCTCTGAGATATTTGGTAGACAAAGTTAAAAAGCAAAACAAAACAAAACAGAAAAACCAGAAACCACAAAGAGCTTTGTAATTTCCTATGCCCAATAAGAAAGTTTGTGCCAGTTTATAAAACAGGAGAAATTTGCCCAGGCCAAGCTATTTAGTAGACTTTTAGCACAAGTTTATTACTTCAGATCCAGATAATAAAAAAAAACAAACCCACTGCCATCAAGTTGATTCCAGCTCTTGGCCACCCTATGTATTGCAAAGTAGAACTGCTCCAAACTGTTTGTGCCACCACTGCTTGTGTTGTTAGGTGCCGTCGCGTCGATTTCAACTCGTAGTGACCCATGTGACAGAGCAGAACTGTCCCGCAGGGTTTTCTAAGCTGTAATCGTTATGGGAGCACATCACCAGGTCTTTCTCCCACAGAGCCACTGGGTGAGTTCAAATCATGAACCTTTACGTTAGTAGTTGAGTGCTTAACTGTTTATGCCACCATATGGGAGGACTTAAACGCATACCTTAAAAAAGTCAAAGAAACCCATCAACTTTGCTTTTCCAAGTTCCTTTTCCTTCTCTTGGAAAAAGAAATATCCTGTAATTCCTGCATCTAGTAGCTGTGGATTTTCTTTGGACAGCTGTACCAACTGAAGCCTTTCTTCTCGGCTATCTCTGCCTCTGAAGAAAGCTTTCTCTGTTTTATTGATCCAGGAAGGCCCTAGAAATTTGAGGCCATAAAAAAAAATTAATTATGAATTTGACATTTTATATGGTTTAAGTACAATCACCTTTAATCTATCATTGTTATTTAAGATGTTAAAGTTCTTTTATCACCATCTCGTCTTCTAAAGCAGATGCTCATTCCAAAAAATAAGGGATTGAATCTTAATTTGCTAAAAATAACTTTCAAGAATGAATCTTTAAAAATAATCCTCTTTGGTGTATCATATTAAGGAATGCTCTAATTCCATCTACTTCTTGTCTATTAGTCTAATACAAATCAAGTATTAGAGTGTTCTGTTGTACAATACTAAAAAATATCCAAAATAACACTGGACCAAGCATAAGCTTCTTCTATCTTTTGAGTTTCACAATCAAATATGAAGTAGGCTTTTGTTCTTAGACAGAGTGACCAGTGAAAACTATATAACTAAGTAACACCCACAAATCTTTAATGCTTCGGTTGTTCAGCAGTTTGAGCACATCACTTTTGAATATAGGGAAGACTTCCTAATATGCTGTTAAATGTAAATATACAGTATATGTATTAACTCAATTATATATATATACATATCTTCTCTTTTTTTGCAAGGGAATTTTTCTGGAGAAATTAATTTAAATCTATTTCTGTTATCCTAAAGCAAGAAGTTATTAGTTAATATTTCTCAACATTCTATGGGATGAATCATTAAACATAGAAATCGGAGAGGTCAATCTTTTTTACAATTTTAGCACACTTTTCAGTAATTCACTGTTGTAAAATAAAAACTAGGTCAGTTTTCATTTCATGTTATCGCTAGATAGGTATATAGAACATATATGTAAAGTCTCTGGTCTCATCTACCAAAGAAGTCCAACAAACCACAATAAGCACAAATAGAAGCTATCAACACAAGGCAGGGTTTTTGCTACTCAGGAGTTCGGTTTAAAAAAAAAAAAAAGTATGTTGTACCATAAATCTAAAGCCATCAAACAGGGGAAAGATTTTAAAGGATGAAGAGAAGTAGAAAGAGGAAAGGGGAGAATTTCTTACATGTTGGAGTCAGGAACATCCCAATTATACTGATAATCACAATTCTCTTAACTTGCATATAATTGTATATTCTTCATAACTTTTCTCACACTGCATCCAATGACATTAAGGTATTCAAGTCAGAATTATATTAACTGGAAATTTTGCCAAACATATATTTTCAAATGGTATTTACAAGTGATTAACTCAAAGGAGACTCAGTTTCACATGGAGAGTAGGTTTGGACATTAATAGCTCAACCCATGTATCTTTAATTTTTGGGCTAGAAGAATTCTAAACAAACTACTTCAGAGTTTAGGGTGCTGTTTTTTTTGTTGTTAAAAATAATAAAAATGGTTATTCAAATATATGCATTAACTCTCTCTCACTGAACATTTTCTTCTTTTTTTTTTTTTTTTTTACTTGTAAGCTTTTTCTTAGAGAATTAACCTTAATTTACCTGTATTTCCCTGAATGGAGAGGAGATCATTAGTGACACCCCTCATTGCTTCAAGTGTGGAGTGGGTGATGTCGTATGTTGGAAGGATAACATCTCTTGAATCTAGAGAGCCACACCATGAAATGATAGGTATAGGGCCAGGGGTTTCATTGACTTTCCGATGCTCCAAGGGCCAATCTCCAATGTTAATATAAAATTCTAAATCAGGGAGAAGGACCTAAATAAACAAAAGTATAATCATCAGTTCTGACAAGACCTCAGTCTTTAGTATGGAATACTCTAATCCTTTGGTTTTCTTGGTCATCAATAATATAAAAAAAAAAAAAAATCACAGGTAAGGATGACACATGGTAAATTCATCTAATTCGGAATCAGTAACCTCTGTTCAGAAGTACCACTTAAAGTTATTGTTAGTATTATGGAAGGTGAAATTGCATAGAGAGGTATGAATGACTGGCTTCAAGAACTCCCTCTGCCAGCTGTCTAAGTGAAAATCTACAGAGACAGACCTGATCCCTTGTTTTCCCTCACTGTACCTCTCTTCACGTCTCCCTTTGTTTCTGGAATCTGCCACCCAATTTCCATCTCCATTTCCGTGATGGATGCCTCAGTTTAAGCCCCTATCATCTCTTACCTAGATTGCTGCAATAGCTTCTTTGCTAGATGTCCTGATTCTACCCTCTCCCCACTCTAATCTGCTCTCCACACTGCTGTCCAAATTCTAAAATCCAAATTAATATGTCACTACCACGCTTAATAGAACCTTAAGCCTATAGGACAAGGTCTAAACTTTCTGGGTACCATACAAGGCCCCAGTATCTTGCCCCAGCTTAGTTTGAGCCTCATCTTCCATCTGCCCACATACCAGTCAGACTTCAGGCTACTCTTTGAAAATGCCATCCATTTTAACACATAATTCCCTTCACTTGGAATGTTCTTCTCTTATTCATTTGGCAGTCTCCTTCTGTCCTTCAAACCCACATCAGAGTTTACCTCCTCTGTGACTGCCCCCCTCAGGCACTTTAATCCTTGGTACCTACTTTGGGTAATTGCCTATTATGTCATAGTATAATTACTTATTTGTATTCACATCCCACACCCACTTCCAAATAACAAAACAAGTCCCACTACAGTGAGCTGCTCAAAGGCTAGGCTTAGTCTCATTTTAATATGTTAGATTTCTTCCCAGCCACCTGGCATGAACCTGGAACAAAAGGGAAGGGTGAGGGATGTGAATTTATAAACTCATTTTATAAACTAATTTAGCATTTAAAAACTCATGAGTTAGCATCAGAAGTTCTCACTATAAAGCAGGGTTTCTCAAAAGCAACATTATTGACATTTTGGGCCAGATAATTCTTTGCTCTGGGGTATTGTTCTGTGCACTGTAGGATGTTTAGCAATATCCCTGGCCTCTACCCACCAGATACTAGTAGCAACTCCTCAGTTGAAAACGCCAAAAATGTCTCTAAACATTACCAAATATCCCCTATAGAGCAAAATCACCCGCAGTTGAGAATCAATGCTAGAGACAGCAACATGAGTACAACAGACAAGGAATACAGAGCAGGGTGGAGTGGTAGCTCAGGAAGAGAACACCACCTTTAGAATCAGCTGCCCATAATATGCTCATAGTGTGGGCTGGTGGGAAGGGATGACTGCTATTCAAAATAAGAACTGATTGAATATTTGAGAAGCTGTATAACTCACACTGGGGAAGTTGGTTTTTGTTTAGAAAATCACCTTGATGGTCTCTCTGGGTGAAGCAGATGAGGACTGTCCACCACCTTCACCCTGCATGGTGTGGAAGCAGGATGTTCTGAAGAGGGGTTTAAATTGCTCTGCTTAAGAGGAAGTTAGTGTTTTGCAAATGTGCAAATAGGAACCAAGTGGAAGATAGAGGCTCAACCATGTAATAAGATGCAAAGACCTGAAGATAAAGGGCAGGTAGTAAGAAATTCCCTGACAAGAATGACTGAGAGCCTGGTTAGAACAGATTCCCTGTCTATTTTTAAGTGTTAGGGTTTTGTGTTTGTTTTCCTATGCAGTGGTGCAAAATGTTACTCTCTCTGTTACTTCAACCTTCAATAAAATGTGCTATGCACAGTCTTCCAGAGGTGTTTAGGACAAAACAAGGAAAATGTGCTCTAAGTAAAAATCATTTTGGCGGTGAAGAGGACAACTGCAGAAAATATGAATGGGAAGAGTGTTCAGCAGGAACAATGAATTTCAACAAGTGATCTTGAGGCGATACTTTCAGATGTTCACAGAAACTCTGGAAGTGCCCTGTATGGCCTAGTAACTTGGAATGGGGGCTCCATAAATGTGTAGGATCTATGGACCCTCAAGCTCAGAATGAATTTTCATCCTTTGCAAATATTATTCTAGGTATTTTCTAAACATTTAAATGTTACAAAAAAATAATTAAACTGTATTGTTTTTGCAATCAATTAATTCGTTCTCGTACCTTTCTTGCCAATGACAGCAAAATCTCATCAGAGAACATTTTGAAGTCTGTGTATTTCCCTAAAGATCTCCTGTAGATGTGGTTATTGAGAATCGTGTAATGAACAATGGCACCTCTCTCATCCCCAAACCTTTCTGGAACTTCATTTAGCATCTGCTGGAGATTGATGTTGGGGAAGGAAAGAAAATCTTTCTCAATCTGCGGTTCCTTGGTTGGACATGAAAGAGTTTTCTGCCAGGCCCGAGGATCCTCTTCTGGACACTCACAGTATTCATGGTACACTGGTCCTAGGGAAGGCAAAATACGTATAATGCCGTGCTTCATTAACAAGCACCACACACAAGGAACTGTTTCTGTTCTTGATGTGAACATGGGAAGACTTCTTGGTGAATTCTAAGATTATTCAGACAGGGATGACCTGCCTTTGACAATTAAGTAATATAAGTAATCATTTCAGAGTCCTATGGATCTACTTTCCCCATGTCTTTCCCATCACCCTGGACAACCTACTATAGAATATTCCATCTCCCAATCTAATCTACCCTCAGTGAATAAACTGATAAATTCTAGTGAGGTATAAACTGCTGATAAATATAAACCAATTTATGTTTGTGAAATCAAATTTATATTAAAAATAGATACTTTACTTTTATTTCAAGAGGGCTTCTCTTATCCATGAATGCAAAAATTCCTGGCCCAAAATTAATCCACCAGGAGATTTTTTTTCTCTCTCACCCAAAATAGCTGTTCCAAAGAGCAAACCATAACAAAATCATTAACCTGTGATTAAATGAGAAAAACTCCCGCTTCTTTCATTTGAATTTCTGAAGGTCTCCATACTACAAGTGGGTGGAAGGGTGAATCTTCCCTGGAGTAACCTTTTTATTGTTAACTCAGTAACCATTAAGCATTTCATCACCATGGAAACCTGTATTCTTTTAGCAAAAGTTATTTAAGTATCTGTGAATTCTCCAGTCTCTAGAAGTGGCTTCTTCTTGCATGAGGGAGTATTTCTCCAATTTGCAAATTCTTTATTAAATCATAGAGCAATCAAATACTGTATTATTCTTTTGAATTAATACATGATTATATTTTTAACACCTTTTAACAAAGAAAAAGGAAACACTGACTTTCAGGCATTATTATATAGTAGGGGTGGTGATTTTTTAAGACAGTGTAGGAGTCTCCTCCTCTAAGCCCCTAAAATCACCTTTATCATTATGTCTCTAAGAGGAAATGTGTAACGCAAAAGCGTCTGGCAGTGTAATTTTAAGTGACCAGACATAAGCAAAAAACTTTCATGAAGACTCATTTAAAAAAGATTTCATGAGAGTTCCGGCAAAATGGTGCTCTAGGCAGAAGTACCATGCCGTCCCTCCACAGCAAAGATCCGAAAAACTAAGCCAAACAGAGAATACAACAATCCTGAAACCCTAAGACAGCAAATGAAGAGATTAAGAACTCAGCCAAGCACCAAATGGAGTGAGAAAACTGACAGAGAATGGAGAGTGAGGAGAGATTCATGCAGAGGTCCCCTACCAGCTAACGCAGCGTGGATCCACCATCTTGGACTCCTATCAGAGACCAGCAAACAGGTACGAGAAAGCAGCCTCACGGAGCATCCAGCGGGAGACAAAACAACCAGTAATTTGTGGTGTGCGCTTTCCCACCCCCCACCCCTCTTCGCCCCGGCTCAGCCTCCTCTGCTTCACACGGCCATGGTCTCTTGACCGGGAAGCGCCTGCTGCTTGGATTCCACACACACAAGCGGGCGGCTCCTAGGGTGCCATTTGTTGGCTGTTGGTGTTGCTTTTTTCCACTTCTTTTGATTTCTTCCTTGCCTCTGGCCATCTCCCCCTCCTTTCGCTTGAGTGCCTCACTCCGTGCGCCATCTTTGCTTCTTCCTGAGGGGCTGCAGAGCGCCGGCAATTTGTGATATATGCTTTCTCACTCTCTACCCTTCTTCACCCATACTCGGCCCCCTCCGCTTTCCGTGGACACAGTCTCTCGTCTAGAAACACCAGCCCACATTAGCTGGCTCTCTAAGTACCATTTGTTGGCTGCTGGTGTTGCTTTTTTTTTTTTCCCCCTGCTTGTTTTGATTTCTTGCTTGCCTCTCGCTGCCTCCCCCTCCTTTCGCTCGAGTGCCTGGCTCTGTGCACCATCTTTGCTTCTTCCTGAGGGGCTGCGGAGCTCCATTCGAGTGTGGAGCTGCTTCCCGGTCTGGGCTACCGCGCTGGTGAGATCCTGGGGCTTTTGTTCATTTTGAATTGTTTGTTTGTTTTCTTTTCCTTTTCTTGAGTTGGGAGCCCTTTCTGGCCAGGCGGAGCTGCGTGGCAAGGAACTCCCCTTCAGCTTCCACAGACGTGCAGAGGGATCCCTGAGCGCATTTCTTTTTTTGTTGGTTTTTTTTTTTCTGTTTTTTTTTGGAGGCCTTTCTTGTTCTTTT